ATTATTAGAGTAATAACAATCATAAATAACAATAATGTTAAAAAGTGTAATGTAAGTGTAAAGTAAGAAAATGAAAATTAATGTTGGAAAGTTACCTTGATTAGTAAATAGCTTGTAATAAAATTTATATTGATTCGATTTGAATAAATAGAAATTTTTTGAAATGAATCTCAAATCATTTTTTTGATTTGATTAAAAATATCAAAGCTTTCAGGGGCTTTATATATATATATATATATATATATATATATATATATATATATATATATATATATATATATATATATATATATATATATATATATATATATATATATATATATATATATATATATATATATGTGTGTGTGTGTATATATATATATATATATATATATATATATATATATATATATATATATATATATATATATATATATATATATATATATTTATATATATATACACACATATATACATATATATATATATTTATATTTAAATATATATATATATATATACATATATATATATATATATATATATATATATATATATATATATATATATATATATATATATATATATATATATATATATATATATATATATATATATATATATATATATATGCAAACAAGGTCGCTTCACTGAGAAAAATGCTCTGTGCTCCTCTGTGCTATGAGAAAAAAAGTTGATCTGTGCTCCTCTGTGCTAACAGGGGCACATATTAGACAACAAAATGATACAAAAAAAAAGTTGTGACAAAATCGATTTAAACTCATAACTTTATTTTACAACCCAAAATATAATTTTATTTTACAATGTATTTTTCAATTAAAAAACTTTGTAAAAAAACCTCCTCCACCTGAATAATAAAAATACCCAAATAAATGAAAATTTCATTTATTTGGGCAAAAATGTTGTAGTATAATGAATTTTTTAGAAATAATTTTTTTTTTATTGATCAAGTTTTTTTCTTTTTTAGTATTTGATAATAGTATTTGATAATTAACTTTTAACAGCTGCTAGGTGTAACCCTTTACCTGATGTTCCAAACTCATCAAGTGTTGTTGATGGTGGATTAGTAAAAGGTCAATATTCTCAAGGCACTATTTACACATACACATGTATTAATGGTTATGAAATAATATCTGGTAATTCTAAAAGAATGTGCTCTCAAAATGCTACTGCATCTTTTTGGTCTGGATCATCTCCTGTTTGTGAGCGTAAGATTTTAATTTGTTTCATAAGTTAGTTTTTTAATAATTTAAAAAACATTCAGGATCAAAATTTTTATTTTAAAATCATTTTCTTGTCTTACTCTATGTTATTTTTTATTTACTACATAACTTTTGTTTAAATCTTGTTTTTAAACATATGTTTTTGTTTGCTAAATTTAATAAAAATGAAACAATTAAATTTATGTAAACTAAAATAGAACATTGCTCTTTTGAATTGGTTGTTTTTAGGAGTTTCATGTGGTCCATTGGAAAATCCTAAAAATGGTCATGTGAATATAACTGGTGATAAGTATGGTGATTCTTCTAAATTTTTTTGTGATGGTGGTTATATAATTACTGGAAATGATTCAAGTACTTGTCAAGCAAATGGCAGATGGTCAGCATCTTCTCCGTTTTGTCTCGGTATGTTTGAAACAGTTTTTGAAAAAACTTCAAAAATGATCACTAAATTTATTTTTTAATCATTTTTATGTAATAATTATTTTCAGTCATGTAAAAGTTATTTGCCATATTTGCATAATTGTTCACCATAATATTTATTTATATTGCTACATTAGTTATATTATCTTAATTTTTATCATTAGGGGTTATAGTCAATTTTGAAAATTAAAAATGTTATGTAATTATAATCTGTTGTAAATGTATAAATTATATGGATATTTTAACTTTTATGTAAAAATATTTTATATAATAGTCATTTTTACGATGTAAATATATTTGGTATGATTTCATATTTATATATCTAAAGTTTTTTACAATTATACTACATACAAATGTATTTTTTTTTTTTTTTTTTTTTTCTATTTCACTTTATTTACTTCCATTATCGTTTGTTTATTAAAAGAAGCTCTCACAATAAAATTAAACTTAATTTCAATCACTAACATATATTTATAATTCATATAGAATGTATTAAAAAAGCTATATTGTATTTTATATATATTTCATATTTTTATATATATCTAAAAATATATCTTTTATATATTATAAATTTTCTCTTACATTTATACTATATTTACAGTTTTCTTATTGTTTGTTTACAGTTAAAAATTATTTAAATGTTTATGTTAAAAATTTTTTGATGTTTTTTAAGCATCACCGTGTCCTGATCCTGGCATACCAATCAATGGTGAAATTATCGGTTTAATTTCATTAGATCAAACTATAACATTCAGATGTCTTGTAAATGGTTCTATTTTAATTGGTGATAATAAAAGAACTTGTATTTTTAATAAATCAACTGGATTAAATCAATGGAATGGAAGTCAACCATTTTGCAAAGGTATATTTTTTATGTCACAATATAAATAAAAATGGAACCAATAAAGGAGTGATGTAATAATCATTGTTGTATAATACCATGGTGATTTATTCCACTTTAATCATTTTACCTATTATTGTTGTTGGTTTTTTTTTTTTTTTTATTACTGGTATAATAATACTTTTTTATTTATTTATTCATAACTACAATTTGAAAATAAAATATTTATTTTTTGGGCTTTTAGACACAAGTATACCTACTTTTAAATTTTGTCCTATGTCAACTATTGAATTTACATTACCTCAATCTGAAAAAAGTATGATGGTCAACTGGACATTACCTACTTTAACTGACAATGTTCATAACTTACTGAATATAACAGTTTCTCCAGACTATGTTTCACCTATGGTTATGCCTGCAGGTTTGAATATAATTACTTACACAGCAACATATAAAGATGGAAGCACAGCAGTTTGTGAAGTAAAAATCAATGTTCAAGGTAAAAAATTTTAAAAATGCTTAAAATTTTTTTGTTAAATTGTTAAATGTTATTTCTCGTAAATTCACCAACATAAGTTTAATAACATAGTTTGATAAGTTTTCTATATTTATATAAAAAAAGCATATTTTTTTATTAAAAGTTTATATTCCAGCGTTTACAACTTCAACCTTAAAATCAATGCCAATTTAAAAATAAATTTTTATCAAGAAATGAAAATTTTAATACTTATAGTTAACCATGTATTAGGGTACTTGCTTTTGAGAAAATTTTTGAATTTCAATATACTACCCTTTAAAATCTGGTACATATGTGATAAAAATAATTTTGAAAAATATTAGCCTGATTGGACCACTTTTGTGCCACCCCAATTGCCCATTTAGTTTAAAAAAGGTTAAAAAACACAAAAAATTCATATTATCATTTTTGGGGAAAGTGAGGTAGTAGACAGAATAAAACTGCTTTTACTGTTTTTTGTATGTTAAAATGTGTTAAAAACTTAAAAAAAGTTAATTTTTTAGCTAAAATTATTAGAATAGAAATTCATTTAAGATGTATTATTTGAATTTATCATTTATTTTATAATATTTATGCCTTAATAACAATTCTACTTAGGACTATAAAAAAAGTAAATTTTATTCATTAACCTAATAAAAGTTTTTAGCAGAAACCTAGAGAAATTTATGAACTTGAAGTTTATGGTTTGTTTTAATTCTTTTTTTTTTTTCTTTTTTTAAACCGCGCTCAACTCGTTTCTCGGCGCAGCGGCCTTGTTCGTGAAGGTTCGTGTTTTGGAGTTATAGAGTTGAGAGAGGGTTATAGCCACAAATAAGTAGCCTCCTCGTCTGTAGTGGCCTTCTCGGCCTTGAGGAGGTGAATTAAAATTAAAAAAAAAAAAAAAAAAACTACATTTGTTTTTTCTTTTTTTTATACAATTATGTATGTTTATGATGAACAATAAAGAAATTAAAAAAAGAGACGAAGAAAGAGATCTTAGGTCAAGCAAAAATTTATTTTTTTCTTATTGGGGTAAACCAGCATTGTCAAGTAACTTTTTATTTTTTTCAAATAAATTGCTTTATACTCTTATTTGTGTATACGTGTATGTTATCAATCGACAATGTTATAGTTTTATTGCTATCATTTTTTTATACTGCAAAGTCTATTACAGATACGTATATATATATATATATATATATATATATATATATATATATATATATATATACAACCCTCAGAATTAGGAAAATTTATATAAACAAAAAAAGACCATTTACAACAACTAGTGGTTTAGCAAAATTTTTGATGATCTTAATGCTTGATTGTGTACAAGTATTGAGTTAGAAGGGTAAGCCGGTTGTCTATAGCCTTTTGTTTATCCAACCCTATTCTATTAAATATCAAATATAAGAGTTGATCAACTTGTGATGAAAAACTTTGTGGATCAACTCTCCTTTCAATCCTAATCCTTTGATAAATAATTTGTTATTGATTTGAAAATAATCTGAGTTTGGCATGTAATATTGCAGTATGACAGATGCAATCTTACATTTCTCTTCATTAGAAACATTGTTATATAACAAAGAAAGTGATACAATTGTAGAATTGAGATTCCAGATATATTTACAAAATGATTTTAGTAATGCATATGGTTTAGGGCTTCAACTGCATATGGTTTAGGGCAAACATCTTTGTTTAGATGCATTTTATGTATTAAAAAAAATATCCAGATGGGGCTTTAATAGCCTTGTCAGATTGCAAATACCATTTTACACAAAAATATTCTATGAATTTTTCCATAATACTTATTTCTTCTAAAAGTAGTCTATAAGCTAGAAACAAAGGATTGATATCTAGATCATTTGCAATTCTAAGATGTGAACTCTTTTTAGTATAAGTATTACTGAAGTTGTATCAAAGCATAATCTTCCTATATATCTTTGGGTTTCTTTAAGGTTCTCTAAGAAATTCATCACATCTTTATACTGATAATTTTTACTACCAAATGCATAACAATAGCAACGCCACCATTATAAACATCTTCAGCAACACTACCATTATAACATCTTCAGAAATTGTGCATATATATATATATATATATATATATATATATATATATATATATATATATATATATATATATATATATATATATATACATAAATATATATGCAAAATAATAGGTAATTGTAAGCATAATGTCTATCATATCATATTTAAGAATATTGTGACATAAACGCAAGAATCCCACATGTATTTATAACTTCGTTCTCTTATGTATATTGTGTTGTTTGCTGGTGATGTATAAACAAGTTTTTGCATGTATTTATTTTATTTTTCTTGAATACTTTAATTTAAGGTCTGCAAAATAATAGGTAATGTATATTTTAAATTAAATTATTTTCAATTATTATCAATTTATTTAGTTAAAAGATGAATTTTGTTAACAGTTATTATAAAATATGTTGAATTAAAAAAGAAATATTTATGCATGTGGGCTGGCCATCTTCAAAATAACGAAATATTCTTTAGTCAGATGAGACTAAAATTAACTGGTTTGGGTCAGATGCACTGAAAAAATATGTCAGTAGACCATAAGGAAAAGAATATGATACTAGATACACCGTAAAAACGATTGAACATGGTGATGGAAATATTAAAATATGGAGTTGCTTTTCATATTATGGAGTAAGCCCCCTTTTTTGGATCAAAGAAAATATGAATAAAGAAATATATTTAAATAATCTAGTTATATAGACAAGTAAATAAATTTTGTTTTAATGTTGCATTTCATTAAAAAATATTAGTTAATAGTTAAATTAATTATATAATAACAATTTGAAAAATTAGATCACTATAAAGAACTTATTTCGTACAAAAAGTCAAATTATTTAATAATTATCTATTATTTTGCACACCACTGTATGTATAAATATATATATATATATATATATATATATATATATATATATATATATATATATATATATATATATATATATATATATATATGCATACATACACCACTGTATGTATATATATGTATATATGTATATATATATATATATATATATATATATATATATATATATATATATATATATATATATATATATATATATATATATATATATATTTTAAACATCATTAGTGTTGGAAGTTACTGGAAGAGAAAATATAAAGATTGTAGAGCAAGATAACGATTGACAGGCGACTTAAAAGATTGCAAATTATATGAATCAGGAAAGCAAGATGAAGGAAGCGAATTCCAAAGAACTGAGATCGAGAAAAAAAGCTAGACAAATAAGAGTTTTTGGAGCACTTAGGAACAGTCACTGAAAAAGGATGAAACTTAATTGAATGATGAGTAACACAAAAATGAATTTTAGTAGATGGCACAAGAGATGCTAGCTCTTTAGAGCAGTGCCCATTATAGTATTTGTAGAGAAGCAATATTACGACAATGTGACAGAGGTTGAAGGTTGGATGCAAAAGCAGGTCCAACTATGTTTACAATGCGTTTTTGCACCTTGTCTAAAAGAGAAAGGGCATCATTAGAAGATCCGCCCCAGATATGGCAACAGTATTCCATACAAGGCCGTATTTGAGATTTATAGAGATAGAGAATAGAATTCAGAGTATGAAAGTGTCGAGCTCGATAAAGAAAAGCAACTTTAGCAGATGCTAATTTTGCAACGAATTTGATATAAGGTTTCCAAGAAAGGTCAGAAGTAAGAGTTAATCCTAGAAGGGGAGATGACTCATCGAGTACATTACTGTTCATAAAAATAGAAAGGTCTAAATTATTGCGATAACGATTGGCTGAAAAAAATTGAGTTTTATCTGAATTAAAGTTCACCAGCCATTGTGAGCCCCATGCTGTAGCAGAAGTGAGATCCTTTTCAAGCTCAGATGCCCCCTGCAAGCAATCAGAAGGAGTATATATATATATATATATATATATATATATTATAACTATTGCATTATCATTGGATATACAAAGTATGTGTACACAAATAAATTATTTATACAAACATACGAGTATACAGTAAATTATTTGAGTATCCAAAGTAGAATTAGCATTATGACATAAATTTTATAAAAATAAATGATAAATTCAAAATAAAATGTCTTGAAGTATTTTTCTGTTCTAATAACTTAACTAAAAAATGAACTATTTTTTTTGTTTTTAACACTTTTTACTTGACAAAAAAGAGCAAAAGCGGTTTTATTCTGTCTTAACTACCCTTTTTATTTGAAAATATAGATCCATACCTGTATTTTAATAAAATAATCAGTTCAAAATTTTCATGTTAACACTTTACCCAAAAGTGACATAATGAAAATTTTTTTTTTTTGCTTTTTTAATCTTTTTTTTTTAAATTAAATGGTTTTCTCCAAGGGCGACTGAAATTTAAAAAAAAATGCCTTTCAGTTGCCCAGCAGGACGACCAAACAGTTTGTTGTTTACAAAAGTGTGTAAATTAATAAAACCATATTTTGATCCATGAAGATTTTATTCCTTGCGATTATTCTAAAGAAAACTTTAAAAAGCATATAAAGTAGTTTAACAATGATTACACTATGGTGCATTAAATAATTTCAATATACTGAATAAAAAGTAGCTGAAACTCAATTTAATATTTCCAAGGTTGTATTTTTAAACATTGTTGTTGCGTTTTAAAGCACATTTCTTCTCGATTTAAAATGAGTTTTAAAATTACTTTTTTTTTTCAATTCCAAATGCTATTGTACCATTTTTCAAACTTTTGAATTTTTTAGCACTTTAACCTATGAAACGAACACTTAAATCCAAACACTTTTTGCATAAATAAAAAAGAACAAAAATTTTTATTTTATTTTGCTGTACACAAATACTGACCAAATCCTAACCTGTACTCAACAATAGAATCAGCTACTACTGTCAGACAATCAATACAACAATAGAATCAACTACTACTGTCAGACAACTCAACTACTACTGTCAGACAATCAATACG